TACGCTCTGTTTCATTCTGCCTTAATACTATTCCTGGGCGATGTGACGAAGCTTCCATCGTGGGTCGTTTCGCCCTGCCCGCAAATGAGCTCACAAGAAATAAAATGCAAATGCGTTCGATCATTTGAGCCAGGGTCAAGCCTGGTTATGGGCCATGCGGTCATGGCTTTCTTGGCTGAAAGCCTTACAATCGTCAGACCTCGTGAAGTCCCACAAATCCTCAGCCCAAACCGGCTGGACGAATGGGTTGAGGGTGGGCATGAGGTGCAACATTCAAGGGGCACCATCTCCCAGTTTCAACCAGTGATCCTTCTGGAAACATGAATTTTATCCCTGTGGGTTGTTCATTCCAGTTTTCATGGGTGAAACCCACAAACAAGAAGGGCGTTTAAGGGCGGAATCCAGCGAACAATGTTGACCAGAAAGGGGCCATTTGGTTAAGCTAAGGGCTGGGATGGCTGGGAATCGCAGGCTTGCCCAATGACTTGCAAAGCACAGCTTGGGGTTGAAGAAGTCGTCCGCCACAATCTGCGCGTGCCATTTGTAGCCCACCGGCTTGACCATGGTCTCCTGCAAGGTTGGCTAAGGCGCTCTTGTTGCGGTTGAATTCACCAGTGTCGCAAGGGGCACCGCCAAGTTCATTTTGAACAACCTCGGCTGGTACTCATGCAACCAGCGCAATCCATCCCATGCCGCGAGTCATCACCTCGCCGGCACGCATAAGAAGCGCCCTAAAGGACGCATAAATATGCAGCTCGGGACCGGACAACAAATGATTGAGAAGTGGTTGAAGCCAAACACCATGCGAGCAACGCGCTTTGGCAACTGTCAACTGGCAGGAAAATGGCTCAAAAGGAGGGCCCCGCTTGACAAACCAGTTGATAGCCGTTGCAAAGCCTGGCGAAGACATATAGGTCATCCCTGCCCGAGCGGCTTGCCCGCCTCCAGGGGCAAGGTCTTAGCGCAGCATCTCTCTCTCTCTCTCTCCCTCCCTCCCTCCCTCCTCCCTCCCTCCCTCCCTCCCTCCTCCTCTCTCCCCCTCTCTCTCCCCTCTCTCTCTCTCTCTCTCTCTCTCTCTCTCTCTCTCTCGCTCTCTCTCTCTCTCTCTCTCTCTTTCTCTCTCTCTCTCTCTCTCTCTAGGGTTCGTGCCTCACACGACGCTTAGCAAAAATGCAAAATCAGGAGGCAGGACCTTGTTTTGGAAGGGACTTTGTGGATGTGTTTCGATCTTGATCCCTCCCATCAAACTCCGGTTGATGAAATTGGGGGACATCCCCTTTTTGATAGGGATGACGGGAAGTGCAATCTTTTCCCTTCTCTCCCGCTTAACAATCAAGGTCCTCATTGTTTTTTGTTGTTCAAAACCTCAGCGGATACGATACTAAAGCAGAATAGGCCAATTATAAACCAATATTAAACCAGCGACTTCTGCCACAACCTCACCTCCAGTCGAAATAAGGGACCCCCTGCCCTCAGTCAGCAAGAAGCATTTGTTCAAAGACAATCAGGTCGCGGCTTCCTGTAAACATTTTGCTAAAGCAACATCATTCTGGAACATTGTTCGGCTGCTCATGACCGGACCACCGAAGCGACCAACAAACGAGACTTGACACACCAATCCTGGTACCGGGGACGCCTAATCATGAACAGGAGTTTCTCACACTGGATTTTCTTTATTGGGCTGCGCAAGGAACAAGAAGAAATACTGTATGCCTAGAGTTCCTTCTTGTTACACATAGATTGCGGACCTAATTATGAGCAATGAAGAAGTCTCTGGCAGCACAAGCAAACACAGTCCACACCTCCTGCTCTGTGTGGCATTCCTAGGAGGTGACAATTCTCTGCACAGGCGTCCGACAAATGCGCCTTGCGCATCTTGCTTCAGGCCAGCGCGCCAAAGATGCAACCGTCCCATGTGGGGCAACCAATTCGGGACCTTTTCGTGGATATGCATATGCTGCATATCCACCTTGGGGAGAGCGTTCCAGTAAACAAATCCATTTGTTTTACAATTCAATGGCCAGTTCTCAGCAAATCTGCAGTGGATTCCCCAGCGGGTCGGTGTGCTGGTCGGGTCTCGGTGCGCCATCCACTTCCAAAAGCAAACCCCCGCTAATTCGGGAGCGCCAGATCCATCCGATTTCTAGGGGGCATGTCCGAGACCCAAAGCCAAAGCGGAAGAAGTCCGCTCAAAAAAAAGGGACAGCACAGCCAACAAGGAAGGATGACCCTTGGTGGATATCATTTAGGTGGGGGATTCCTGTCACCGCCAAGCTCTTTCCAGGCGCTTTTCGTGACACATTGTTTCGCCCAAACACGTCCGAGGTGCTGATTTCTTGTGGGGTCCTACGACCCTAAGCTGACAAGACAGCCCCAAGACGTTCGGTTCGGAAGACTTCCATAGCCCAAGGCGCCGCGACCCCGGAGACCTCTTCCTCCGGCATGGCCTCATGATGCTCCTCGCAGTCCGGGTGCTCCGAGTCAGAGCCTCGAAGCCGAAGCGAGCCGAAGCGAGCCGACGGAGCCGCCCCGGACGTCGAAAAAAACGCCTCGATGGAGAAGCACGGGGCTTTCTTGCGAACAAGGCCCTCCTGGGGCTCATAGGCTTCCTGTGGCTGCTTTTTGTTTGTGGTTTTATTGCATTTGTTTTCTTCTTGGTGGGGGTGGGGGAGGGGGGCTACCCTCTATGAAGGTTTCCGACAACCATAGGATTCAAAGAGAAATCACGAGCAAACTCCAAGCAACTGAACAAACACGCGTCAAGCGTCCTTGTGGAAAAAGCCGTAAATCCGAACTGCTTGCAAATCCACCTTCATCCACCTTCTCTTCCTCCCCAAGCAAACATAGACAACTCACATTTGCCAGTTCCTCATCTGCGTTCAACCGAACTGACCAGAAACGTGGGTTGGCGACAGTCACCTTGGATGCAGGGCACCCCCCAACAACCTCTGCGAAAACGACACGTTTTTCACACGGGGCCTGGTTCCTGGTAGGCGCTGATCTCATCCGTCGTCGACTTGGTTGGGCTCGATGGGGAGGACGCGCCTTTGGTGGCACCACAGCCTCGGGTCTACAGGCCTTTTGATTGAGGTCGGTGCGGCTGGCGCAGGGGCCGGGGAAAGAACAGAAAGAATGACAAATACCCACACCCTCTCCGGCTTGTACATTAACAGTTTTTTTGTTGGTCATCTTGGGACCTGATTAGAACTCCCCACCCCCCAAAGTCTTCCATTTCAAACAAGGCTTGAGCAGTTCGTTGTCGCATATAGTAGCTGTTTACCGCCCCCTCTCCCCCCCAGACTGATTAGCACTAACCTTCCCCCCAAAATAACATAAAAAGCGAACACGGCAACTCGAAAACACAACAGATCACAATAGCAATTGCGAATGCTTTGTTCTACTACTTTCTTTCGGAGTTCCACGGATTGCCTCATAACAGATCCCTGAAAACAAAACAGTTTTCCAGAAAGAATGCTTCAACAATAAAGGTTTGACAAGCTCTCGGAGGGTAGGCCAGTCCCGCCGCCTCTGGTAACAAGGATTCATCATGGCCCTCTCAAGCACTGGCCACATGGAAACACAATTTAGAACCCTGACAACCTTGAGAACAAATTAGCACGCAGAAAATGTCTGGCTGGGCTAGAAGAAGGTCAACTAATGGAGTTTGGAGGGCAAACAAAAATGATCATGGATTCTCTGACCCGTCGTGAGCCTTCCGGCCCGCACGAATTGCTGCCTTCGGGGCCTCCTTTCTGAAAACGTAAGCAAGCCCAGCATGAGCCGCAAAGACCACCCGGATCGTTCATCTCGCCCCAGTCCCCATCCCCACAGTCCCTCAGGCGTTCAACCTCACCGGCATAAGATGACTTCAAAAGGTGGCTTGTGCGAATGGGGAGGTCCCTACATAAAGGATTTTCATCATAATGGCGAGCTCGGATTTACCCCCAGCAGGTGAGCTCCTTTTCCTAGTGCAGGCTTTCTCTATATATATATATATGCATATCTATATAAATATCAATACTATATCATCTGTGCTGACCTGAATATTTATCTTGCATATATATATATATATATATATGTATATATATTCACATGCAATGAAGTCCGCCCTTGGTCAAACCCAATTGCTTCAAGTCGCCCATGGGTGGCACCAGGCTTGAGGAATATCCGGCGCCGGGCGTCGTTTTGCCGGCTGAGTGCTCGCGCAGCGCGCGAAGAACTCCCAACAGACCCAACCTGTGCCAAGTTGGCCGTGCGAATTTGCTGTGGTGCGAGCTTCTGACTCTCCAGTTTATGTCTGTGTCAGCTTTGGGCTGTGGCAACTCGTCTGCTGTGTGTCCGGTCTGTTCGCGAGTTGTTCGCACTTTTTGTTGGTGTCCTGTCGCTCTGCCAGCCGGAGCGAGGCGAGGCGTCCTGCGGAAACATGCGAGGGCGAATGCGGTCTCCAGCAGGGAGCCCGCCAGCATTCACCAAAGAACACCACCAAACACAAAAGGGCTGCAGAGAGGTCAGGTTGCCTGACACTCAGAACCCCATATTCAAGCTGACCCATGCTTGTACTGCTTTCAGGGAGGCCACAATACTGCTTGCCCCGGATGTGACCTGGCAGATTCTGAAGAGGGATGTACTCGAGGAATCCGCTCTCAACTTGGACACCGCCGACTAGTCAACCGGAACACCATCAATCCTCGGTGCACAAACCACCTCCGATAACCCATGATATTCCCTCGGATCCTCTCTTTTCGCCCCACACCCTACCAGTCCCATGGAAGCGGCATCCTGAAGACCCCCTTTGAATGGCATGAGGGAAAACAGCTCCCGGGCCAAGGTAATTTGGGTGGTCAAAACTAAACCACCAGGGGACCGCAGGTTTTGGTCCTTGTTGCCACTTACCAGGGTTCCATTTTGGGTACCTATGTTTGACCCACAGCCATTTGGAGAACTGAACATGTTCCCCTTGACACACCCGGCCCAGCATCGAGCCAGCCGAGCTCTCGCGCGGGCAAAGCGTTGGAGCCATCCTCGTTGGGGAGGACCTGAGACCGGAGCAACGGATGGCCCCAGGCCCAGGCCCTTGGCTCCCTATGCTTCACGCAAGCATCTTAGCTCCCAAACGCTAGCAACAGTATCCGCCATTCACATCGAACTTATAATCGTAGTAAAAAATGGCCAAAACCCGCACGCTTCATCTGAAGCGCTGTGTTGCCTAAGCTAAACTGGACACCTAAGGACCCTTGTGGTCCCCACCCACACCACCCGGCCGCCGCGCGAGATCCCCACATCTGACAAGCCACCGTGAGGCCTTCGAGTTGGACCAGGCTGCGATTGTCCTGGCGGATTCTCGCCCGACTAGTCGAGACCCACGGTGGATTCTCACGTGGCAAGTCGCGTGTACCACATGCGAGCGCACAAAGCAAGTGGATGTCACGTAACGCGCAGGCTCTTCATCACCCGAAAGGTAGCTCAGGTAGACACATGTCTGCATTTGTATGCACATAAATATGCAAGTATTTGCATACATGCATACATATATATATATATATACATAATATCTATAATGCGTGCGTGATAAATCTTGATACACACACCATATATATATAATATACATATATACATACATGATATGTTAACACATATATGTGTGTGTGATACGTACACATACAGATTTCTGGGTGCTCCTTCAACTTCTCCCCTTGCGAATTTTGTTTTCCGAGGCCCGCCTCCCGGCCCTGAGCACTGGAGAAGACTGCGAGGCGCTCCAGGCGCCGGGCCCACCCTGCAGGACTCGAACCCGAGTTTTTCTCCCGGGCTCGTACCCAAAATCTTGGTTGCCGTGGACCCCCCAACAAGTTGATCACTTTTTTGGGGGTTTTTGGTGGAAACACCTTACTTCCCAAAAAGTTGAAAGTCTAAAGATCCAACCCAGTAACTCAGTAGCAGTCAAGAATAGAGAAACCAAAAAGACAAAACAAGTTACTAAGTACCTAAAACCAAAATCAAAGAAAACAATCCCAAGCTAAGATGACTACTTCTGCTTGAGCCAACATTTCCGTGATATGTGTCATACCCATCGAATGATTCTGAGGATTCCCTGACAGGAAAGCACCAGTTGCATGGGTTTGGGGGGTCATTCCATTTCTCATTCCCTTCTGAGAACCGGGTTCCTCGGACAAGATGAGAAGTTGTGCAAGGGATGGGCTGCTCCTTGGCTGTCCCTCGATTCATACCGACTCGGCCGTTTGCTTCCACTTTCTGTGGCTAGTTTGTGATAGTGTACCCTATGTTTACTCTTCGGTGAGTGGTTTAGGGGCGGTGAAAAGAATGATAAAATCTGAATGTGTTTTAGGGAGACGCCGTAGAAGTCTACCTGGAAAGGCCCTGCTCAATGCACACCCATTCCACAACACCCATCAGCAAATCCATCCATTAATGCCATATTGTACCATAATCGATCCAAGCATGTCGAATCTCACAGCAATATGCTGGGAAATGCTGTGATGGACATTTGCATCTGTTTCCTGACAGCCGGTGAAGTATGGCCAGGAGGCGTTGTCCCGTCACACGGAAGCCAACCATGTTTACGGCCCTTCGCTTTAACATTATAACTTGCCCAAATGATCCGAATGCAAAAATGCCACCCACGATGATCGAATCTCACCGAAACGAGTTGGTACGTCTAGCCAGCAAACAAGCAATCATAAACTTGAACATGTTGCTTGATTCAGATGCGCATGTGCGACAGTGCCCGCACAGTTTCCCGATGCAGGGTTCTGATAGAGAGCTCCAGGCACAAGCCAAGCAAGGCTGCACAATGCAGAAGGATGATTGATAATTGGGTTGCCCCAACGCCAATCAGAGCTGCCGCAAGCCAGGGGGGAGCAAGCCAGCGCATTGGCAACAGGAAGGAAGCCCCAAGTGGCCCAAGGTTTTTAAAGCATCCCAGCCATGCACTCTATGCGCCTTTACGGCTGGCGCGAGACTACGCCTTTTGGAATGCACAACAAACATCGCTGGCGCATTGGGCAAGAACTCGCCATTATCATTTAATGTTGTAGGGGACTCCAGCCATCCCAAGGTTATGTGGCTGTGCCGTCTGAGTCTTTTTCAGGGGGGCCAACCCTTATTTTGGGTGTGCCCACTTCGAGAACCCATGTGACACCCACGTGCTGTGAAATTCTGCCACGGGGCTGGTGTACAGGGAATGCTCGGCGGCACGAGCGCTCTCCTGAACACTTTCACCAGCCGACCAGCCCTCGTGGGTAGGTGGTTAATAATTCTATAGGCAGGAGATACCCTCCCCCAGACTAACATGGAAGCTCCCAGGACAACTTTGGAGGACTTGGTTCCATTTACAGAGGCCAATTGAGAGCTTCCATGTTAGTCTGAGGGAGTGTAGATGGGAAACCCTGTCTTTTTGCGGCTGGCCGTTTTCAAGGCAAACGAAGAGGGTGCTGCTGAACATTTAAGTACCCTCCGCGGAGCGTCATAGTTCCTCCGAATGTTGCCAACAAACATGAGAGGCTGGTAAAGGTTGTATCACAGACATACCCAACTGGGAACAACACATATTTAGGGACCCCCTGGAAGACAAACTTTACGGCGCTGTCGATTTGCAGGCCATGTGGGGGTGCTATCTGGAAAACAGGGGTTAGATTGTGCCGCCTTCACAGCTCGCCATGCTGACCACCCTCAAGTTGTGAGAAACCTGGCTTGGCCCTGAACGAGTTTGGATTCACCCCGAGCCAGGCATAATGGCCTTTCAGAAAGAAATCAAATTTGGGATGTTCTTGGGCTCAATCTTGGTGGAAAAGGGGGGCTCTTTCAAACCCGCAACGCCTCGATTTGCTCAGGTCTTTCTAGTGCCGAAAAGCGGCCATATGGGACACCCCAGGTTGGGATGTTCTGCCCCAGAATGCAAAGATGCCGTTTCAAGGACCTCACGGTGAAGCACACCTTTTCAGTGGTTCCGACCAACGCACTCAACCCGACTGGCGACGCCAGTCGGTTCGATTTGGCGTCCGTTGACATCCTCAAACTTACCGTCAGGATGGGGGTTTAAAGGGAAACCACCAGGTCGCAAGGGAACATTTGGGAGCTCCTCTCACCATGCCAGCCCCCCCCCCCACCCCGCAAATTAGCATGGAACCCAAGGCGGTTCCCTCAAACATGGATCCTGGATAAGCCGATAGGAAGCCCTTCACCCCCTGAGAATCCGGCCGCCAGCGCCGCTTTGGTCTCCGCCGCCACGCGCTGGTTGATGGCTTTGGCCTCCTCTTCGCCTAAGAGGGGGTCTGGTGCATGAAACCTCAGCCCTCGTTCCAATCATGGGACTGGAGGGAGGCCTTTTGTAGACGATGTCTTCCAAACCCTGTGCACATCCATTATTATTAAACACGAATTGCCCCACTTGAAACCAGTTACTGGTAGGCAAAGAGTTCGAACCCTTTTCGGGGCTGACCAGTGGGAAACCCAAAAATACGGCACATATCCAAAGTCTTCTCAGTTGCCCCAGGCGACCCAAGGAAAAAAGAGGACTCTTTGGCGGGTCCATCTTCGTGGGGAGATCTTGTTAAACAAAAAGGACCACGGGCGCCACTGAGCTGGGCTTGGTGTCAATCCTCTCGGGCCACTGCTGGCTTCTGCCAGTAGCAACGCCAAGCGCTGCTGCTGCTCCTGGAAGCGGGAAACCCGCGCAACGGCATTGGATCCAATCTGCACTGCATGCCAACATGAGACGCGTTCTAACCCGTCACTCGGTTGCTTTCTGCTTCCCTGCTAAGGGTTTAACTTTTGGTGATTTGATGGAAAACTCATTAGTTGGCAAAAAGTTAAAGTCCTAACATCCAAGCAACATGCACCAAAGGAGTCAGATTGTCCAGCAGGTTCTCGTGGCGGGGGTTAGCAAACAAAGATCAGTTGTCACAGCGCTTGTTTTTGACTGCCTCGCTCAGTTCGAAGGGGTCTGCCAAAAGAGGTCGGCCAGAGGTGGTCTGCCAAAAAAAGGCCATCAGATTTTACCTCCACCTCCCAAAAGCTTCCAATATGTTGCAACAACACCTTCGAGTAATTACCCCAGTTTGACCCGTCCGTGTTAGACCGGGTCCCCTTGCTACGGGACCTGTACCCTGAAACCGAGCATAGTCATTGCTCATGGCCGGCCGGTGCCATAGAGAAATGGCCGTGCGCCGTGCAGGCCATGCGAAACAGGCATGATGTGCCGATCCCCTCAAACAAGCCGCGATACCTTTTTGAAAACCCAGGTTACTTTTGGATATACGCAAAAACTTTGCCTAACTGATGATTGATGGCCAGGCCTGGTGGCTGATGCCACGGCAACATGCTTTTGGCTTCTTGCGAACCAGTAGGAAAATACAGTTGCCCCCCTCCAACCCCCCCCAAAAAAAACAAGAACAAGAAAAAGAGGCAACAATCCAGCCAAATAGCACCCAAGCAGGATGGAGCACGCATCCGCTGGGTTCAAGTGTTGAGATGACTTGCGGCATCGATTTATCACGGGTGGTAGAGTGAAGGTCTGTTTTCAGAGGGCACTGAGTCCGACAGCTCCTGCTGCAGCTTCCTCTGCATCACGGCCTGAGTGCTCAGTCAAAAAGGAGCCCAATTTGAAGGGAAGTAACCACTGGCCCCTTCGATGCGCCAAATGAAGGGTCTTTGGCTGGCCGAAAACCAGGAGACCCTTCTGGGAGCACTGAACCATTGTGGAAATGTCAATCGCGCCAAATTGATATGAGGCAAACACCAAGTACAAACCGCCTCTTCCGCTCATTTTGCCGCCCGAGGCTTGGCTTCTCGATCGTCGCCTGGCAAGTGAGATGACCATGTAAGCCGCACTCACTCTCAGCCAGGCACGTGCCGCCTTTGGTTTGGCGGCGTTTTTGTTGGCGCTGTCCCTGTTAAGGATGTTGCCCGGTGGCTGCAGGCCATTCTTAAAGGAGGTGGTCAGTGACATACTTACATCAACTTCATTCAAGAAAGCAGGCAGGGAAGGCACTGGCAATGCTGAGCGTGCCAAGTGTTAAACAATCACCAAATTGAAGCATGATATTGAGATACCCCGATGGCTGTAAAGAGTGAGTGACCCACTAGCCCCTGCCCCCTTTCCTTCCAATGGTAGCGACAAGCAACTGGCGCTGACCGGGGTAGGACTTTTCCCTATCGCCCGAAAGGTCATAAGCAAATCTGCAGCTGGACAGAAATAGCATTCTCACGCGGGACCTGTCCCAAAACCCTACCCAGCAAACCTCGATGTCTGCTTATTTGGGCAGCACTTGGGTTTTTTTGGCATCGCGCAAACGGCACGCTCAAAACAAAATCCGCCCATCGGTGAAAGGCCACCGCCAACCTTCTGCCGGTGAAACGGGCAAACCTTAGCCAAAGGAATCAAGGCGCAACTAGATCTTGCAAAGGGCGGAGATGACGCCAACCATTCCCAAACTGCTATGATTAGTAGCTATTAAACAGTCTACAGCGGACATTGCGGGTCATTCAACTTAACAACCAAGGTGTGCTGCTCCAAATTACCGCAACGGCTTTCAAAGGTTCAAACTTAGGAAGCCTGCCTTACCGTGTGCCCTGGGTGCAGCTGGTGGAGGGGGCCGTCCCCCCGCATAAGCAAGCTCACAATTGGGCAGAAGGTATGATGCAACCAAGCCAGACTTAGGCCCTCCTCCAATGGGCTCACTTCTTGCTAGCTGAGCAAAGACATACAGAAAGAAAAGGGGAAACAAAACGAATAGGAACGCTAAGTGGGCAATGGAAAGTGGTTGACTTCCCTTTAGTTCCCCTTTTACCAAACAAGGATATCCTCAAGAAGGGCACGCCCTTTTTTTTTGTCACCACCAAGCAGGACACACCGCGCTGGTTGTATTCACAAACCGGACATCTAAGAATCCCCTCGACGCCCCGCCCCGCCTGAACCTGGGCCCGGCTCGCAGGCGCAATCCTTGTGCTGCACCACCCAGCGCCAGGTGAGGTTGATCCGCTCCCGGACCTTGCCTCCGGAGATTAAAAAATAAGAATAACAACAATATATAATAATAACAAATAATAATAATTTCAAAATATACATATGTTAATAAACAAAAAATGGAAGAACAAAAACAATAAAACACAAAAACACGGCAACGGGCTCGTACCGAAGCGCAGGCAAATCCTTGCCGAAGTGCTCGTACCGATTTGTTGCCATTCAACTGTTCGTATGACAGAAGTTTCGCCTTTAAACACATGTTGGGTATCCAACAAATTCTTCCCACATGGCCAGTGACCATGCTGCAGTCGCGAGAGACTTCTGTTCCTAGGATTGAGGCCAGACCATTTGCATGTCCGAAGGTAGTCTTGGCGGCCAGTTTGCTTCCCGACCGCAACGGACACTAGGTTCAGGAAAAGACGTTCTCCAGGCTCCACCCTGAAGCTTCTAGCAGGGCTAACCCTGAAACTTCGAGCCCCAGAACTAACCCCAAATGATAGTCCCCCCGTTTTTGCCGCTGGTTTTATGCTTTGGCCCCAGAACTAACCCCAAAATCAGAGAGCCCCGCTGGTTTGTCGCTTTCTCTTCCGCTTTCGCGCTTTCGCTCGCGCGCCTGGCATCTTCGGCACGCGGTGCTTGTAGTACTTCTGCGTCATGCCCTCCATGGTGCACAAGTCGCCGTCCGCCAGCTCCAAGCCTTGGCCATGGCTTGTGACTGCGTCCAAACCCACCCGACGCCCCGACGCCCCGACGCCGACGCCCAAGGTGGCCGGCTTTGAGGGGAAACCGAAACACGAGGTCCTGGGAAACCCGCGAAATCTCGGGGTCTTTTGGTTGGAATTACCCAGCTCTGTAATGAAATCCATTGAAAGGGGAGGTTTCTGGTATCACGGAAGTGGGAGTAGAACCCTTGTTCCCACAACCCTGCTCGAAATAGATGCGCCGTGCATGAAGGTTGCCACTCTCCCCAATGTGCTAGGTGCGCAAAGCTCACCGGCAGTCTGCCCGGACACACAGGGTGTGCCAAAGCTAGGGGATTGTTTTGCTTTGCCCATTTTGTGGGCCTAAGCCGGGCCTTCGCTTTCATGTGATGCTTCTGCCACGGCTAACGCTGAAGTATGACTCTCATTTGGGGGCCTCCTGGGTGGATATCATTTAGATGTGGATGCACTTCAACCAAAACAGGTGTTGGTCTTGAGAATGCTTAAGCCATTTTTGTGACAGGCGGTTGCGGCCTGTAACGCTAAGGTCTGAAACTCTTTTGGGGGGCCCTCTTGGTGGATATCATTTAGATGTGGATGCACTTCAACCAAAACAGGTGTTGGTCTTGAGAATGCTTAAGCCATTTTTGTGACAGGCGGTCGCGGCCTTTAACGCTAAGGTCTGAAACTCTTTTGGGGGGCCCTCTTGGTGGATATCATTTAGATGTGGATGCACTTCAACCAAAACAGGTGTTGGTCTTGAGAATGCTTAAGCCATTTTTGTGACAGGCGGTCGCGGCCTTTAACGCTAAGGTCTGAAACTCTTTTGGGGGGCCCTCTTGGTGGATATCATTTAGATGTGGATGCACTTCAACCAAAACAGGTGTTGGTCTTGAGAATGCTTAAGCCATTTTTGTGACAGGCGGTTGCGGCCTTTAACGCTAAGGTCTGAAACTCTTTTGGGGGACCCTCTGCATTTCAACCAAAACAGGTGTTGGTCTTGAGAATGCTTAAGCCATTTTTGTGACAGGCGATTGCGGCCTTTAACGCTAAGGTCTGAAACTCTTTTGGGGGGCCCTCTTGGTGGATATCATTTAGATGTGGATGCACTTCAACCAAAACAGGTGTTGGTCTTGAGAATGCTTAAGCCATTTTTGTGACAGGCGGTTGCGGCCTTTAACGCTAAGGTCTGAAACACTTTTGGGGGGCCCTCTTGGTGGATATCATTTAGATGTGGATGCATTTCAACCAAAACAGGTGTTGGTCTTGAGAATGCTTAAGCCATTTTTGTGACAAGCGGTTGCGGCCTTTAACGCTAAGGTCTGAAACTCGTTTGGGGGGCCCTCTTGGTGGATATCATTTAGATGTGGATGCATTTCAACAAAAACAGGTGTTGGTCTTGAGTCTTGAGAATGCTTAAGCCATTTTTGTGACAGGCGGTTGCGGCCTGTAACGCTAAGGTCTGAAACTCTTTTGGGGGGCCCTCTTGGTGGATATCATTTAGATGTGGATGCACTTCAACCAAAACAGGTGTTGGTCTTGAGAATGCTTAAGCCATTTTTGTGACAGGCGGTTGCGGCCTTTAACGCTAAGGTCTGAAACTCTTTTGGGGGGCCCTCTTGGTGGATATCATTTAGATGTGGATGCATTCAACCAAAACAGGTGTTGGTCTTGAGTCTTGAGAATGCTTAAGCCATTTTTGTGACAGGCGGTTGCGGCCTTTAACGCTAAGGTCTGAAACTCTTTTGGGGGGCCCTCTTGGTGGATATCATTTAGATGTGGATGCATTTCAACCAAAACAGGTGTTGGTCTTGAGTCTTGAGAATGCTCAAGCCATTTTTGTGACAGGCGGTTGCGGCCTTTAACGCTAAGGTCTGAAACTCTTTTGGGGGGCCCTCTTGACGGATATCATGTAGATGTGGATGTATTCCCACCAACCATTTGGGGTGCTCCCCTCCCGCAACAAGGTTTCACAGCATGGTTGGGCAAAATGTGGTTCTGCAGAAGGAAAACAAGTTTTGGCCTTGAGGATGCTTAAACCATCATTGTGACTGGCGGTTGCCCAACCCTGATTCATAGCAACGCCTGCAGTCACCAGTCATACACAAAGCCAAGGGGCGATGGAAGTCCTGGCCGCACATAAGCTCAAACTCCCTGGTCTGCCCCAGCGACAAGGAGATGATACCTCGGGCATTGGAATATTCGACACACAGATTCCAATAGGACGTGGACGATCCAAAACCGATATGCACCTCCCACACCGACACCTACAACACCGACAGCCCACCCAAAGCCGATAACAACGTGCAAACTGAACCGGTGTGAACCTTGAATATAACAAAGTGGACATGTTCATTAGACCATGCATCATCCCAGGAAGATTGGCCTGGCCAAACCTCCGTCCAGAACTCTAGAGCCTTGAGAGCCTCAATCTGCCCCGGACTGCTGTTCAAGTTTCTTTGGGGTCAAGGCATCCTAGAAACCACTGGCCAGGAAACCATGGCGAAACAACTCCTGGTATGATCACTGCTTTGTTCAGCCCAAGGATTGCCTGACTGCAAGCAACAAGGGTCAGCTGGTTGCCTGGCGGTATTGGATAATTAGATTCGCGCTCACAAGTTTGCTTTATGGCTTCTTCTTCAAAGCATCCAAAAGGGACGTGACATGGCTGCACGCGAACCCTACCTAAGCTTGTAAAGATCATCCCGACCCTGCCTAGAACCAGCAAAACACAGCACATGTACGCTTCACCAGGGGAATGGTGATGGGCAGGCCGCAAACCTTTCCACCTACTGTGCATGGACGGAATCCAGTTCGCACCGTTGAGAAACCCTGGTTTCTGATGTTCTATTTTTCCTGTAAATACCAACAAACCAGACCGTTTTCAACCATGGTTTCAGTTCGTG